GTTTGCCCCTGTTCGGGTCATACACCGGCATTGAGACTTCTGTTATCCCTCTTTCAATCATGAAGTCTCGTAATCTTGTTAGTGCCAATATCACGTGTTCGGGATCGATTGTGTTCCTGTCATTGACCCTCGTTACTAGGAAGCACAGATATTTGCCCGGGACTTGTGCCACTGACGGTGGAAGCGCTGCCATCCCTCCCAGTCCTGGTCTCTGTCTGAACAGAAACTCTACATTCTGGTACTCTCTTTTGAAGTCAGCTTCCAATCTTGATTTGAAACTCATGTCCGCCGTGATGCAGATCGCACTGGTCCTGTTTGACAGGATGAAGTCGCTATCTGTTATCATGATGTTCTCCGAGTATTCATTGGGTATTTCGAATTTCGTTTTGAAATTCCGACCTATAGTAGGCTCTGGCTCTTCTTCCTCCAGTTCCAATTCGCTCGTTTCTCTCACTTCCTTGAGCTTCTTTATCATCAAATTTTCGGTGTGGGTAAGTCCTACCCCCACTCCCCGGACAAAAATATTTATCGACGTCCCCGTCGATGTTGTCGGGTCTGAATTGTCCTGAGGAATGTCCAGTGGCCTGTCTGTTGCCGTCCATCCGAAAGGAGGGTCCTCTGTCTTCATGTAATTTGCTGCTGATACATCGACTTGCTGAATGCTTTGTCCTTCGCGGCTCTCGTCTTTGACATCACGCATCCACTCTAGAATCCTCAAGTTCGTGTTCTCCCTCCTCTCTATCTCACTCTGTTCGAGATCCGTTTCTACTTCTGGCGTCGAGTAATCATCCTGCGGATAATGACCACCATCGTCAATGACCTGCCATTCCTCTCCGGCTTCCAGTTCGCCTGCCTTCAGTAATTCCTCGCCCAAATTGTCTGGCTGTATCTTATCGATCAAGAAGTCATCCCCGTACCTGTTGTACCTCATGCCGGTGCGTTTACGATTGCCAGTCCTGGTTTCCGGTGGTGTTGGTCGATCCGGCTCCATCCACTTCGGCACCTCGTCTTGCTCCGGGTCGTTCCAGTCTTCTTCTACAAATGATCCTGCATCAGACCCCACTCCTATCTTTTCATTGTCGTCCAAACTCAAGTTCTCATTACCATCATTTTTCTCTCGAGTACCTTTCTCATTCACTTCCCACGCTGGCTCTACCACCAGGTACTCAAGACCCTCCATGTCCTTCGGTATGCACCAATCCTCTGGGGACGGGACGTGAGGCTTCAGATTCTCATAATGTGCCGCTCGCCCAGTACTCAAGCGATAGAACCGTCCTTGTTGATGAACCTCCGTTATCATGAATGGTCCCCTCCACTTCTTGAGTAGTTTCTTTGTTCCCTTGGGCGGTATTACATTTTGGAAGACCCACACGTATTGGCCCACTTCATATGGCTTTGCTCTTAATATTTTTTCGTCGTATTTCCTGCGTTGCCTCATTTGCGCTTGCGCCGTGTTCCTCCTGCATAGCTCGTTCAACTCCTGTTGTCTTTTGATCGCTTCTTTCACGTATGCCTGAGGCGACGTCCTTTTCCCCTCGTATTCCGGGTAAAAGAATGTCAGAGGCATTTCTCTCTCCCTGCCCGTCAAATCATGAAAGGACTGATGCCCGTAGTTGAGTGCTGTGTACTGTTGTAGGCTCCTACTACCTGTGGCAGGTATTTGTCCCAGTCCGTCATGTATCTTGAGCAGTACACCCTTAACATGTTGACCAGTGTCCTGTTTTGTCTCTCTACCAACCCATTGGTCTGCGGGTGATAGGTCGTCGAGTGTGCTTGAGCAATGTGCGATCTCTTCATCAATTCTTTTGTCAAGTCCCCCACAAAAGCTTTGCCGTTGTCCGACTGGAAAGTCATTGGACAACCATACCGCGATATCCAATGCGTTATCAGATGATCACATGTCTCTTCGGCCGAGGCTGTCTGGCACGGAACCGCTTCCGCCAACTTTGTGAAGTGATCTATTATAACCAGTATCTGGTTGTATCCCGACTCTGTCATGCAGATTTTTTGATGGTCTATCTGCACCACTTCATCGAACTCCGAGCTCTCAACGGACTTGAGGGGAAACTTCATCTTCCTTGGGTCTTTTACCTGGAGACATGCCAGGCAGGCATTCACCCATCTCTCGCAAGCTTTTCTCATTCCTGGCCAATCAAATCTGTGAAGTATCCTTTGTTGTACTTTGTCTATCCCCTGGTGACCCATCTGGTCGTGTGATCTGAAAAGCACCTCTGTCTGGTACAATTGTGGTAGTATGATGAGGTTGTGTTTGTGTAATATCTTTTCCTCATCTCTCCTCTTGCACGCTACCACTCCATCAGCTGTGTGATAAAGTAAGTCTTTCTTTTCTTTGTAGAACTGGCTCAAGATCTTGTAGCTGTCTTCCTCAAGTTCCCCCTTCTCCTTGACCCCCGACTGGATCCATTTGGAGAGGTTACTTGTCATTTTGTCATTCTTCTGGGCTCTTATTAGGTCTGACAGCCTATATCTTGCCTTGACATGCTCCTTTAGCGCCATGATCTGTCCATTCATCTCACCAGGGTTGTGGATGTCATCACTCAGTTTCACGCATATCATCCTTTTCACGATTTTCATATCATCTTCTGGCACCAGATTCGTTCTGATGTTTGAGTTGCATGATAGTTCCCTGAATGGTTTCCTTGCGACCGCAATTTTCTCAAGTTCCTCACCACCTCGCATCTCCTGTATGTCCATGTTGTATGTTCCTGAAGATGGATCCGTCTGTAACTCCCTGTCGTGGTGCCTTGTCTTCTCGTCCGCCAGTATCATGCACAGACTGTCCTGGTTTTCGCTGCTCTCATCCGAGTCTTCATCCCATCCTTCACGCTCCCCGGACAATTTTCCTTCTCCGGTTCCTTCTTCCGTGAACCTGGAACACTCCCCGGACTCTTGACCTAGTCCCACGTGTTCAGTATCTTCCTTGAACGTCACTTTCTTTTTCCTAACCTTGGTCTGCTCCAGAATGTCTTCGGGGATTTTGTCAACTAGTGACCGCACGACATCTTTGCTGTCAGTGACGCTTCCTCTTGATGAGTCAGTATCGTTCACTGTCTCTTTTCTCCGAAGTATAGTGAATTCCGGTTTCTCTTTACCCTTCTCCTGGATCACTGGCTTATCATCTGATAGTTTCTCGAGCAACCTCATTAAGTCATCATCTATCTGTGCAGTTCCTGCTTCCACCTGGCTAAGATCATAGCCTTTTGCCTTGAGCGTCTCCTTCACGATCTTCGACTTGAGTATAATCTCAATCGGAATCCTCTTGCTCTTCCTCAAGATGGTCTTCTCTGGAGGCTCTTTAGGCAATTCAGGATGATCTTCTATCGGTTTGCCTGACTTGTCCAGCCATCTCGTGAGTGGAAGACTGTCGTACGTTTCCTTGTTCATGAATGAGAAGCCATCTTTGATTTCAGGTCTGTCTGCTTCTCTTTGCTCTTGTCTCTCATAGAACTCCGTCTTCTTACTCAAGCTGTCGGCATTCTGATGTTTATCTCGCGTTCTATGCTCAATTATCATGTTGTATCCCTCCAGGCGAACTATCCACCTCCCAATGTAACTTTGGTCCATTGAGTACGTTTTCAGCCAGCTCAGTGCTCTGTTGTCGACTCGCAACTTGAATGGCTCACTGCCCAGGTACGCCCTGTATTTCTCGACAAAGGTAACCACCGCGAACATCTCAGCTTTCGGTGCTCCGTACTTCATTTCCGTGTCACTCAGGACTTTGCTCCCGTACGCTATTGGTCTCAAGACTGTCTTCCCATTCCATTCTTGTTCTTGGTGGAGAATCCCAGAAATCGCGACTACCGACGCATCCGTGTCTAGCACGTACATCCCTTTCTCAGTCGGCATACCCAGTACTGGTGCCTCACATAGCTCTTTCTTTATCCTCTGGAATGACTCTTCTGCTGCGTTGTTCCACGTGAACTTCTTGCCCTTGTGTCTCATTAATTGTTGCATCGGGTATACCTTGTCTGCATAGCCTTTGATGAACTCTCTATAATAGTTAGCGAAACCCAGGAAGCTCATCAACTGGTGCTCTGTCTTCGGTGATTTCCAGGTCAGGACTGCTTCCACGGCGTCCGTATCAGGTCTGATGCCGTGCTTGTCTACCATCCTGCCCAAGTATTTTATTGAGTCCTTGAGTATCTCGCACTTTGATGGTTTACACTTTAGCCCCGACCTCTTCATGCATGTAAAAACTTCGTCTAGTCTCTCAATGTGGTCTTCCAGTGTTGGCGTCGCTATTACCACGTCATCCACGTAGCACATTACCAGATTGCCATCCTTCTTCGTTACGCCTATCAGCGCGTGTGCCATCAACCGCTGAAACGTGGCTGTGGCATTGCAAAGTCCAAACGGCATCCGTTTCCATTGAAACAGACCCAACTCGCAGGCAAACCCTGTCTTGTCCCTGTCCTGCTTCCTTAGTGGTACTTGCCAAAAGGCCGAGCCTAAATCAAGAGTCGTAAAAATTTTTGCATCACCTAACTTCGAGAGGCTCTCATCAATCCTAGGTATGGGATAGGCATCCTTCACCGTGACGGAGTTCAGGTATCGAAAGTCACAACAAAACCTCAACTGGTCGCCTTTCTTTTTGGCCATCACTACTCCACACGCCCACGGTGACTTGGATGGTTCTATCATGTCATACTCTAGTAACGTCTCGATCTCTTTTCTACACGCGTCCGATTTGTGTGGGGTCATGCGCCTCGCCCCCTCCCTGTGTGGTACCGCGTTTTCCTCAAGTTCTATTTCATGCTCAACGAAATTACAACACCCGATATCCGCCTTATGCCTCGAAAAAACTTCCTCGTTCCGCTCTAGTACGTCCTTGATGGCTTCGAGCTGTTCATCTTTCAGTTTGCCCCTCAAATGTTCAATCTCCGGCAGGACCGGTTTTTCATTTTGCATTTCATCTAGTGTGGGTCGCTCTGGAAAGTTCGAACAGCTCGAAAGACCATCATCCGTTTCTGACTTAAGTGATTTAATAAGACCTGAAGAATCTTTTATTTTCTGCAATCGTCTCAAGATACAAATTTTGTCCCTGTGATTGGGGCAATCAACAACTTCATTTTGTTTTGAATTCTCAATTGTTTCATATCGAGTTTTAACCGGTAAAGCATATCCCAGTTTCCTCCCTCTTTGTATCGTGATCGGTATATCAAGGGTATTCAACAAGACACTGACGCAGAGGCCGCTCTTCGTTATCGAAAATGATCTTCCTAAAACAGCAGCACTTTGACTATTAGGATTCGGAACTATGCACACTTGCTTGTTGTCACTTAGTTCATTGTTATTTTTCATCCTCAAACTTACGATTGCCGCTTCATTAGCTTTTAGCCTCACCCTCCTACTCAAGAATACCGGTGCTTTGTTTTCATTTGCCATTATTAAATTTACCGGTTTGATTGCGTACCTCCTATCCGGGTTCCGTATCCTGAACATTGCGTTATTTAAATCAATCGTTACGTCGAAATTCCTGATGAAGTCTCTGCCCAAAATGAATTGGTCAGATTCATCTAGGTTTTCTACCACGATAAAGCTCATCCACAGGTTACGTTCCCCCAAATTGAGGGCTATTATCGGCGTCCTGCCCAGCACCCGTAGGGCCCCTTTGTTTGCAGCTGACAGCCGTATTCTCGAGTCTATCAAGTCACCTTTGTCAAAGCCCATCTTCTCCCAAGTTTCGATTGGTATAACGCTCAAGACTGCTCCCGTGTCGAGCAACCCACGCAACTGAGTCTTTTTGCCACTTATATCCAGCACGTGCCCTGTCACATCTGCCTCCGTCCCGATGTGCATTGCATCTTCCTCAAGCATGGCGCAGTGTCCAATCGATCTCACTTTCAATTCTTCTTTCCCTACGTAGATTTGTCCAATCAGGTCTTCGTCACATGTTATCATCGTCTTGGTATAGATGTTAATCCCATCTATATTTAGCATCACCTCGTGTGGACCGTAAGCTTCAGTATATCTGCTATCAACACGTACCGACTTGCTGCCCCCTCTCATGAGTAGTGCTCTCAGTGCTCCAGAAGTCGTTTGTGGGCTTATACCACTCAAATATGCTGCATACACGTCAATGTGCATTATTGTCTAGTCGCTCGGCTCGCTCAAGTTTCTGGTTACCTCGTGGCCGCCCACTGTGATTATCGACATTATCTTTGCCCCGATTTTCGATATGCCAAAAGGCTTACCTGTCACCATTTTCACAGTATTACAATTCCCGGTCTTTGTTGAGCCCGGTACAGCCTCTGGTATTTGTTTCGATCCGGTTAATGCTTCGTTAAAATTCTGTCTTTCTATCTCCAGCTTTAGTCGTTGCTCTATTTCTTTCGCAGCCAGATCCTGTTTCACTTTGGCAATTGCTTCCGTGGCCGCTTTCTCATAATTTATCTCTAGAGAGTTCCCTGCCGCGGATTCTATGGCATCATTAACATGTGATACAGCTTTCACTGTCTTCGTCGGCAATTCCGTGCTTGGTGCTCCTAAGTTCCTCGATTCAAATTCGTTTTGCCTGTTCCGCTGATTCTGCACCGCCGCTAATGCCAACTTATGTTTAGGGTGACTCTGGTCCTTGACCGCTTCCCAGAACAAGGGACAATCCATTCGGAAGTGCCCCTCCTGGTTACAGAAGAAGCATCTTGCGCCTATCTTGATGATTAGGCGACTATAGTACTCGTGTTCCTCCATCTGGCTCATGTCCTCCTCATCTGGTGCATATCCTGGACTCTTCATGCCTTGTTTGTATGTTGTGCAGTCAGCCACGTGGTGATCCGCCGACCCGCAGTTCGCGCATGATCTGCGCTTGTCCATGTCATCTCTAGGTTTGTACCATGACGACCTCTGCGGTTGACTTCCCCCTTGCGTGTTCCTGTTTTCTGAATACGAGTATTTCTTGGGTTTCATCAGCATGTATTCCCTTGATTTCTGTCTCATTTCTTCTGGGGTTGGTGCGCTGTCTTTCGACAATGTGTAGTATGTTGCTAACATTGTCCTTAAGTCGTCACTTTTTACCCCATCAATGAACTTCGAGGCAATGCTAAAGTTTCTTCTGTTTGTCGACTCCTCTGGGTCACTCCTTCTTCTCAAGCTCTCGAGATCATCTAGGAACCGATCTATTGACTCGTCGTCCCTCTGCCTTCTCTTTTCAAATCGCATCATCGCTTGGTGACCCTTCATGCCTGACCCGAATCGATTCAGCAATATCTCGAAGATCTTGTCCGCGGTATCGCGTTCTTCTTCTTTCTTCGCAACCACGCATTTTAATGCTGTGCCTTCTAAATGGCTGTGCATGCTTGTCTTTCATCGTTCAAGTTGTCTTGCTCTAGATGTAATCTCATCACTTCCACCCACGTGTCAATGCATCCATCTGAGTCGTCTTTGAATTCTTTTGGCTTCTTGAATGTTTTTCTTGATTTCCCATCTCTCCTATCGCTCGAGTTAGTGTTCCTCGTGGCGAAGGCCTCTAGAGTCCTGTTCATCATCTCCCAAGTGTTTGCCCATGTCATAGCATCCGGACCTGCGTTGCTGTTAGCTGTTGAGTCCCCCGGACCAGTCGTTGTACTTGACATTCCATTCTTCATGATTGTTTTAGCAGCTGTTGGTGCTATGCTCACCGTATCCCGGGTTAAGGGCAACGGTGTCGATTGCCGTTTGTTCCTTTGTGGTTCCACAAAGTCAACTCTGGTGCCTTGCGTGCGATCCGCTGCCGGTCTTTCTTGTGAGGTAGAATTACTCAAGATTGCATCCAATTTCGCCTGTATTGCACACGAACTCTCGGCCTGATTTTTGCTGATTGTGTCCATTCTCTTTTCCAGGCTACCTAATTGGCTGTTGACATCATCATATCGGTTTTTTAACTGTTGCAAATCTTTTTTGATGTTCTTATCTCGTTCTTCATTGGTGGTTTCTACATTATCTGACATCTCCTTGAGTCTCTCTTTTGTTGCCTTGGCCAGGTTAAAATAACTATCCAGATACTCGTTTTTGTTGTATCTTAATTCTTTTCTTATCACTTCTCTGTCCTCTTCGCTGTGCTTCAGCTTTTTGTCGATCTGATTCAGTTTCGCCATCAAGTCACCTAGCTCAAGAGTAGCCTCTTCATGGTCAGCCGTCGGTCTTTCTTCGGCCGTCGCTTCTGCTCTAGTTTGCTCCTCTCTCGGATTGGCTTCTGTCGTCTTCGTGCTCACTGTTCCAAATGTTCGTGCTCTTTCAGCTTTTGGTTCTTCAGTCACGTTCTCTTTCGTTTTTATTCCGACCATCATCGCCAACCTTTCTGTAAAGGATGTCTTTTTTACTTGAGAGTCTTCTTTCACCGTTTCTTCGGTGTTGCCTATTGCATCTTCCACGTTGTCTATTGGTGAGAATTCTATGGGTTTCGAGTTTGGTTCTTCTGCATTGGGCATTGGAGTTGACTCCGTCGCTATTTTCCTTGTTTCATCAACACTTTGATCAGGTGTCTCTAGATCAATCTCGATGGTGGGTTCTACTCGTTCCCCTTCCATGCCCTCTCTTGCTCTCTCCGTTGTACTCCTTGTGCTGACCATGTTAACTGAAAAGTTCTTCTTTGTTATCTTTGGGCCCATTGATGTTGTTTTGCGTAGCGACGAATTATACTTTGCTTCGGTAGGTCTTTTTTCAGCTACCGGTACCCTGCTCCGCCTCATTATTTCTATTTACAATTGCTCTTATTTACAATTTTACTATATACACAATCCTATTCTAAGAATAAAATCTTTCGAGAAAAAAAAAATTTCTTAAAAAAAAAATATACAACGTGGTGAAAACCTTGTTTCAGTTCTCTTTATTAACTTTTCGAGAAACTTTCCTTATTTGTGGTCCCAACCGTACCTGGTTCCAATTAGTCTTGTTCTATCTTAATTCTGTCTTAAAACACTTCTTGTAATTTTACTTCAATTTTTATACTGTCCCAAGACTTCCAATTGCCGTCCCTACTCTTCTTTGTACCGTCCCAGGCTTCTTTCTCCTGTCCCAAGACTGTTCGGTACCGTCCCAGTACTTTCCGGCAGTGTCCCAAGACTCTTGTCCAAGACTACTGTCCCAAGGCTAGTGTCCCAAGACCACTGTCCCAAGACTAGTGTCCCAAGACTAGTGTCCCAAGACTAGTGTACCAAGACTACTGTCCCAAGACCCTTGTCCCAAGACTCCTGTCCCAAGACCCCGTCCCAAGACCCTGTCCCAAGACCCTGTCCCAAGACCCTTGTCCCAAGACCTTGTCCCAAGACCTTGTCCCAAGACCCTGTCCCAAGACCTTGTCCCAAGACCCTGTCCCAAGACCTTTTCCCAAGACCCTGTCCCAAGACCCTTGTCCCAAGACCTTGTCCCAAGACCCCGTCCCAAGACCTTGTCCCAAGACCCCGTCCCAAGACCTTGTCCCAAGACCCTGTCCCAAGACCCTGTCCCAAGACCCTTGTCCCAAGACCTTGTCCCAAGACCTTGTCCCAAGACCCTGTCCCAAGACCCTTGTCCCAAGACCCTGTACCAAGACCCTGTCCCAAGACCACTGTCCCAAGACTGTACTGTCCCAAGACTGTCCCCAGACTGCTCTGTCCTAAGACTTCTTCGGCACTGTCCCAAGACTGTTGACAAGTGTCTGGGTGGTGGGACTTCTTTCCTCTTCGTTATGGGGACTTCTTGATTCGCCGTACCTTGTACCACCACTCAAGCTCTAGTAAAATTTTCCCAAAATCCTCTCTTAAAAGCCAAATGCTGACCCCCCTTTTTCTTATTTCTCTTTTTGGCTACCTCTATTTCAATGTTCCAAGTAACTTGAGACCAAAACCTGTGCGCAGGTATCTTGTGATCACCTGTTCGTACAAAATTTTAACACAAATCCTCACCAAAATGCAACAAAAATCTAAGCAAGAAAAAGTAATAAAAACAGAAAGATGAGCCCACCTAAAATTTAAAGGTGACAAATGTCTACCTCCTATCTAAAAAAAATGTCTGGTACCTAATTGTCACGCGTT